CTGAGATCAGACTCCAGTGTGTTGTTACTCACACACTTGTCATCTGAAGCTGTCCATCTAGTTCTGCCCTTGCCTAACAACTGCTTTGGGAAGTGTTTCCCTTCTCTTTAGCATAAAGGATAAATATTCCCCTTAGCTTCTGGACTAGATAGCTGAGATCTATTAATGTCCTTTTGGATGCAAGCAATTGGCACCATTGGGTCTGTTTGTTTCAGAAGGTGCCTTGGAAACAGCATTAATCAAATAAAACAATGCAAAGCAAGTTTGCAGTCGGAGGTTGTGGCTTGGTATGATATTGGCACTTCTATAACACCCTTCATCTGCAGTTCCCAAAGGGCTTTACAAACATGAAAACGATGGTTGGCCACCCAAAACCCCTGTGAGATTGGCACCTCCTCCCCCTCTCTTTTTACAATATGCGAATATGAGGCACACAGAAGATTTGTCTAGTGGCCTATAAATAGCTGGAAATCAGTCTGTGCTGCAAACACTGGTAAGATCACATCGTAATATGTGTACTTTGAAAAACATGGCAGACACGTTTCTGCTATGTGCTAAAACAAGCCCGTGGCGTCATTCTTTCACAGGGCTAGTCGTTCGTTCAGAGCAGCAGCAATTGTCATAGAATATTTTCAGTAAGTGGAACATTCAGGGTGGGGGAATTTAGCTTGTCTTGATGCTAGTGCTCTGAGCCAAGAAGCTCACTGTCCCCTGTGAAAACCTCCGTTTATTACTTGCATTATGGTAGAGCGTAGCAGCACCAACCTCAGTTGCTCTGTGTTTATACAGTGCTTAGTGCTATGGGGTCCTAGTCCATGACAGGGTCTCCTATACAGGTTGGACCTCCATGGATCGGCACCATCGGGAACTGATTGATCCTGGACGAGGGAGTTTGCCAGACCAGGGGAGGGTCAGGGCTCCCCTCCTGGCCACCAACCCTGCCCCTGGCAGATGCCAGGGTAGCTGGGCTCTGCTCTTGGCTTCAGCAGCTGCTGAGCTGCACGCCACTGTGAGTCCCCAGCAGCTTCTGGCTAGGTTTCACTACCAGCCCCTGGAGCTGCCAGCCACTGGCCCCTCTGCAACCATACCCTCAGTTGGCAGCAGTCTGGGCTCGCTGGGCCAGCAATATTTGTGGTCCAGCCAGACCACAGAATCCCAGACCAGAGAGGTTAACCTGTACTGTGACATAAATAATCTGCAGAAAGTGAGAACAAAGTCTCTCAAATGGTACCTTGTTGATTCAAGACTGAACTGTTCTCTAACCTCTAAAACCATTTCAGAATTGAGAGAGCCATTTAGAGGGCAGTGATAAAGGTCTAAGCTGTAAGCTCAAATTTCTTGGGAATCACCAGAGATCTGAAAGACCCGCTGTGTGCAGTGACTAGCTTTCCACTGATACACTATATAGTATGAATGTATATCCCTATTTGTTAATAAGCTAGGAGATATCAGATCTTAAAACAGTCACTGATCTTGCAAATACAAACTGCTTACCAAACAAGTAAAGATTTTTTCAGCATTCCAATCATCCTGGGCCAGTGTGTCACACAGGCAGAGTTTGGCTCCAGTTAATGCTTCGCATCTCTAGTTAGTGCCTTTCCCGCAGAGTATTTCAGACAGCTCATTTTACAAGCAAACATCCTTTTGACCAGCTCTGCCAGCATGCACCATTGGGTGAGTCACTTCACTGTTCTGCAACCTTGTTTCACCACAGGGATGGTAATGCTACTGTCCCTCCAAGGAATGCTGGGAAACGATCTCCAAGGTCTCAGCACATCAGTGGTCACACTGGGGTGAGAATTCAGGAGTTCTGCTTCATGATCCCTTGCTCTGACTAGTGGACTGTACTCCTTCCCTTGTTTCTTAATTGAGATACTTTCTCTTAACTTCCAGTTCCTATTATGTTTGCCCTTGCTGCGTATTTGGTTTGTTTTTTTCTTATAAAACAACAGGAGGGGAGAGATGAGCATTAACTTTGTGTTCTGTGCTCAGGGACACCTGATGGCCTGAGTTGTCTCATTTTGTAGGTTGGCTATTTTATTGATTTTCATTAAGATCTGGATAATCACATTAGGGGAGATAGACTAAATAAATGTACTCCTGGAGGTCAGGACAGAAAGGGATCAGCCTCGCAGGTGCTGTCATGTGGCTCCCTGCTAGGGAATGAAAAAGAACCCTGTGTTGCCATTGTGACCTGACAATTAGTAGGGGACAGGGAAGGTTTATGCAGCGGGTACCTGGGTTTTAACAGTAATAGTTCTTTCCCCTTCACTCCTTACCTGCCAGGCAGCAAAAGTGCCTTAACCAGGCTGGGTACTATGCTATAAACAGGCCACCAGCAGCACTGAGCACCAGCATGTGGCTCTTTCACGGCTGTTGAGAGATGCCAATCTATTTAAGAACTGGGATGGTGGGTGGAGTCCACCAAATCAGGGAAAGGCCTGCCCCCCATCTGGTTTCTGTTGTGGCAGGAAACATTCCATACGCCATTTTGACAGTCCTGGAGATTGACATCCTCTCTCCATCTACCTGTGCTGCATAAATCAGATGTAAGCATGGTGTGTCTCACCCGACTTGGAAAGACAGCCTCGAAGGATGAGGGAAGTTCAGTCTTGATGGTTCCATTCAATCTTTGGCCTCTGCCACCAAAAGAACCCATTAGCGGCAACAGTCTTTGCTGTGGACATTGTCTGCTGATCAGACATAAAAAGAGCCTGTAACCCATACTCACTTGAGGGTTACGTTTGCAAGAAGCAACCACAACATCTGGGCTGTTGTGTTCTCTTTAGGTGAAAGAGAAGAAGGTAAAAACAAGCTTTAGGAAGGGGAAGCTGCCTTCAGCCAGGGTATAGAAATAGAGTGGCAGACATGTTTCTTCAACAACTTTTGACCCTGCCATTTTGTTGCTGAATCTGTCTGACCGATTGGCTCAATTACATCATTGGTTGAAGTGATTATGTACCTCCTTGTATTTACCAAACCGTGTTCCATCCAGACTTAAAATGAAACAACCTACTGGAATATGGAGCAGAAAAAGACACAAAACAAAGATACCATATGAGGCAGTTAATTCTCTCCAAAAATCCTTATAGTTTTGATCAGCGGATCTAGCAGCTAGAATGTGGTATAAGACTCAGTGTGCACTAAGCTCCTTCATGCAATTGCAACTTGACAATCTTTACATACAGCTCCAAAAGACAACACAACCTACCAGGGACAGGCTCAGGGAAGAATAGTTGCCATCTTGCCAAGTGGAACTCACTTTTTGCTTGCAATTTAGTTGGGAGGGATCTTTTGATTGTTTCCCATCTGATCTGCTGGCTTAATACCAAAATAAAATGCAGCTCTTCTAGTTTTTGCTTCTCTGTAACTAAACAGATAAGGAGAGGAAATTGGCTTATAGCAAGGAGGATATTTTGGGCCCCAAATGAAACTAGATATTTAGTTGAAAGCAGATCTGAGATGTTGGTCTATTACCAAGAAAAGAGCTGCTTACTCTTGTCACTGAACATCCTTGACTAACACCATTATCTATGGTCTGGGTTTTCACAGAAGCGTCTGAAACTGGCTATTGTTACTGGATGAAAGCTAGGCTACTGTCTGTTCATACCAAATAAAAACATCTAAGCACAGGTATTGGGGAGTGGCGTGGAGGCGCTGTCAACAGAAGCTGCTCCCAGAGACATTCTGCTCAGGGAATTTTCTGGCAGGCAGAATATCTTTGGTAGGTGTGGGTGGTGCAGTTCTTACACTTTTTTGGGGATGTTGCATGCACGTGCCTTTTCAAGTAACACCAGGTGGTATGAAGAGGCAGTGCTGTAGCCCACACCACCTTCTTTGGTGTTTCTTTTGACCTGCACGTTATATTCAAGCACAACCATGGGAATTCTGGGGTCACAAAGTATGGAGTATGTGACCTTTCTGCCACTTTGCATATCCATACAGGGGCATTCAGAATCTAGCTCCACACAGGCATATTTAATCATTCATATTAGTTTTGGTTTAATCCTAGTTTCCAACTGGTGAAAAAGAAAAATAATCAAGGTATCCATCTCTACTGACAAACCAAAAAACCACAACCAAACCACCTGTCATGATGGCATGCACCAACAGCTCATGAGAGTCTGGAAAAGAAATTAAAGCCTGGCACATAACATCGTGTAAAAAATAATATAAATCCATAATGCCCTGCTGAAGTCAGGACATGGGAAGGAGGTGTTTGTGGGGCTGACAAAAGAGACTTGAAAAGTTCCTGTGATTCTTCAGGAGAAAAGGATGCAGCTCCTATGTAGGTTTGAAGGCCATATGAAAGAAGTAGGAATTAATACAGGGGAAACTGTATGGCCTGTGCTAGGCTGCTCAGACTAGGAAACAATTCAGTGTAAAAAATAGTTTTATTGATATTTTCATAAAATGAGATAAATACATCAAGGGTTCCAGTAGAACAGACATAAAAAACCTGGTAAGAGAAATATAATAGAGCAAAATAATATTAAAAAGGAGACATATGGTTTTAAAACAAAGCTTTGTCTTATTGGGTTTCGATCATTTATATGTCTTCATCTCACCTCAGCGTTTGTGTAATCCACTAGGATCTCAGCAGTCAGAAGTAGCCAACATGACTGTGTCATGTTCAGTGCCATCCACATGCCAGTATGGGAGTGAGGGTATGTCTACACTAGCCCCCTAGTTCGAACTAGGGAGGCTAATGAGGGCAACCGAAATTGCAAATGAAGCGCGGGATTTAAATATGGAAATATGGCATTTTGGAAATTGACTAGCCCAGAACTGCCTGCGTCTTGGGAGTTGGAAGTAAAGCCCTAACTCGAATTAGCTGTTATTCCTCCTGGAATGAGGTTTACCAGCTAATTTGAATGAAGGGCTTTACTTCGAACTCCCGTTTCACTGCTGCATGAAGACGCAGGCAGTTATTCCGGGCTAGTCAATTTCCAAAATGGCGACCGCCCGGGGACATGCTAATGAAGCGTGGGATATTTAAATCCCGCACTTCATTTGCAATTTCAGTCGCCCTCATTAGCCTCCCTAGTTCGAACTAGGGGGCTAGTGTAGACATACCCTGAGATTCTAGCTCATAAAGGCAGAAAGAAGAGTAAAAAAAACCCTGAAGCAGAATACATAGCTAGAAAGTGTACAGATCAGTGGTCTCCAACCCTTTTTATATGCCCAAGATCTCTTTTTGATTTTAAGGGCAACCCAAGATCTACCTTGCTTCTTCCCCAAAGTCCTACCCCACTCAGTCCATTCCCCTCTACCTCATTTTCACTGGACTGTGACATAGGGCTGGGGTGCATGAGGTGGTGCAGGTGCTGGCTCTGGCTCTAAGAGGGGGCCTCCCACTGAGCAGTGCTTACCGCCAATGGCTGCACAGTGGCAGCACAGCAAGGCTGAGGCAGGCTCCCTGCCTGCCCACAGCCCCATGCCATTCCCGAAAGGGGCCAACACACTCCTGTGGTCCTAGAGAAAAGAACATGGTTCTGCACGCCGTCCCTTTCTGCGGGCACCCACCAGTCAGCTCCCATTAGCCAGTGCCCCACTTCCCACACCAGGAGCCATGCTGGCCACTTTTGGGACTGAGCTGGCGGTGTGGGGTTGGGGCAGGCATGCAGCCTGCCAGCCAATCATGATCGACTGGAAGACTCCATAGCATCAACCAGTCAATCCAATCAACTGATTGGTGACCCACTTATATAAATCAAATGCCTAAAGAGCCACAGATGGGGAACAGCTCTGCGACTGGTTCCCTGAAGTACCATGCAAGTCCAGACTAAGGTTAGAGGATCCCAGACTGGCAAAGGGGATTGGAGTGCTGACTTAGTGGCAAGTACTTTGCCTTGTGACATGGGAGATAGTTTTATGCAATCCCTCTCTCCCTGAACTGGAACTGCTAAGCAGCATGAAGGAGATAAGGAAGAGGGCCTGGGATTGAACAGCTTCGAAAGTGTCCCATGCAGCCATCATCAGGCTGTAGCCTGAGAAGAGAGGTGTTAGGATGGGGCTGAACCTCATCCCAAGCAAATACGGGAAGACTCTCCCTTCCCATGCCCCCCACAGGGATTTCTTTAAAGAGACACAAATCCTAGCTAGACTGACATTCATCTGTTATAGTCACAGAGGTTGAAGCAACTGCCCAAAATAGCAGCTGGGAGTCTCCCATGATGCATTTGTCTCCTTTTCTTTCCACCCCCAAGCAAAATAATTTTGTTGTCCCCAGAAATGCTGTTTGATCAATGAATACAAAGATAGCTGCACTGGTCCTTGAAGGTCTTTTCAAGTTAGTCCCCTGTTCAAATCCATCTTCTGGCCTTTCAAATCTGGAAGACACTGCAGGCACTCCAGCTTTTCAGTAGGAAGTGAAAAATCACCAGTTTTTTCTTACCTCCTGCCCCTACACTCACTGGCCTGGCTATGCATTTCCTGGGTCTCACATGCCTGCCTGAAGATGAGCTCCTTCAGCTGATCCAACCTGTCGTCTCTCAGTGCATCTCGAATGGAGTGGAAGAAGCTGAAGTAGTGTTGAAAATTATGCATCATGAGCAGGACGCCAGCCAGCAGCTCATTGGTCACCAGGAGGTGATGGACATAGGCTCGACTATGGTTCTGACAGCAGTAACAGGTGCATCCATGTACCAAAGGACCAAAATCATCCCGGTACCTAATAAAACAGATGGAGTAGAATGGCAATGGGAAAAAAAATCATTTCAAGTAGTAGGGAACACTCATAGTTACCATGAAGCAGCTGTTTAGTGGCTTGAATCAAGCGCTTTCAGGGTTTCAGTCCAGCTCATTAGGGACTGCATCAGACTCCACACCCACTCACTGACACTAACTGCATTGCAAAGAGCACTGCACATAGGTTCATAAACTGAGTGCAGTAAGCATTGTTTTAATGTCAGTTGACAAGCTATGTGAGCAGGGATACTACAGCCATGCAAAAAATAAGTCATTAACAGCTTTGTTTGCCTTATTGTATGGCATTATCAAATCAAATTACTGATGCCTCCTTCAGCTTTTAAAGTCACACACCTGCGGCATTTAAATCCCGAGCTTGATCTGAAATTTCGGTCACCCTCATTAGCCTCCCTAGATCGATGTACGGGGCTAGTGTAGACGTACCGTAACTGTTCAATGGACATTCCTTGTCCAATAACTGTCCAAGTGTGTCCCTGTCTGAAGGATGAAATCACAGCACAAAGAGGGATGGCTACAGACACTATTTAAAAGCTAGTATACACAAATCCACTTACCTTTTTTCCTTCAAAAATATCTCGAATGAAGTTATTTCTGGATCAGCTTTTGATGTTTCATTTATGTCTTTTTCAGTGTGACTTTTTCCTGTGTCCTGGATCCCGTTTTGTTTAATGACTATGACAAAACAAATATCACTTCATCAGTAGGCAGAAGCGTACAACTCAGGGTGAAAAGTGTTCTGACAAGAGGCATCTCAGCTGCCCCTTTGTTACAGACTACACTTCCATCTCCATTATCCCCCTACAATTATCACACAACAGTTAAGCCACATAAATTCAAGTGATCAAACTGATTAGAAGAGCCAGGTCGGAGGGAATCAACTAATCTGATAAAAATTCAGAACTGAAATAGTTGCAGTTTTTTTGTTGATCTGAGCTTAATGCCTTTTCTAAAGATCATTAAAAATCCTTGCAGTCTAAATTGCATTTTGCAGTGTAGGATCACCTAAATTACTGATCTATTTAACATAATGCAAGAACACTAGACTGGCCATACTGGGTCAGACCAATGGTCCATTGAGCCCAGTATCCTGTCTTCTGATAGTGGACAGTGCCAATTGCTTTAGAGGGAATAAATAGAACAGGGCAATTTATCTAGTCCCAGCTTTTGGCAGAGGTTTACAGAGCATGCAGTTGTGCCCCTGACCATCTTTTAATCAATCACTGATCCCTGAGACACCTTTCTTCTTATTCTATGACAGTTTACTTTTCTTAGGAGATTTTGGGGAGGACCCTTGTGAAAGGCTTTCACAATGTCCAAGAATACTATGTAACTGGATCACCTTTATCCACACATGTTGAAATAATTCAAATACATTGCTGATGCATGATTTCCCTTTTCAAAAAGCAGTGCTGATTCTTCCCCCAACATATCATGTTCATCTGTGTGTCTGATCATTCTGTTCTTTACTACAGTCTACTCTAGTTTCAATCAATTTGCTTGGAACTGAAGTTAGGCTTAATTTCCAGGATTCCCTCTGGAGCCTTTTAAAAAAATAAGCATTACATTGGATAGCCATCAGTCATCTGGTACAGAGACCATTTTAAATTACAGTTTATATACTACAGATTAGTTTAGCCTCTGCTGGAGTTTACAAGGGATTCACATGCATCCAATCCACTTTTCTGTAATGTCTCAGTTTGATTTTCTTTGGTTGAAGTAAAAGATTTTTGACTGTGCTGGCAGAGATGGGTGAAGATTCCAAACCTGGATTTTCAGCAGCACATATCTTTTACAAATCATTACTCTGACATCTGAAATTTCTCAGGCTTGTTCTCAATGGTGGGAAATTATTACGATGATGTATTTTTTGTATTGTGAATTGATAATGTCAACAAGACCCTGTTTTGGACCAGGACCTCATTGTGCTAGGCACTGTACAAACACAGAAAAAAAGAATAGCCCCGTGTCCAAAGAACTTAAAACATACCTATAAGAATTACTCAGGCACAAAACACAAAACTAGGTTCCAGCCAGTAAAAGAACATTTAGATTTTTTTTGTATTAAAAGACATATATAAGAAGCATGGCAGTCTCTCTGCATTGCTGAGACATTTGATAGGATCATGTGTAATATCAAGCCTTTACTTGCTCATTTAAGCAGATATCTTGTGTTATAGGGATTTCAGTAACTTCCATTATTTTTGGCAGCATTTATATTAATCAAGGGAGCAAACTGGGTGAAAGCAGAAAAGAAGAATTGCCCAAGAAGACTGGCTTCCCCAATACTGCACAGCTGCAGAGGAGTTACATTACACACTAAATTTAACACTGCCAAGTGCCTTCAAATTCCATTAAAATGTATAGGCTCATTCCTGCCAGCTAAAGGTAAGGGCAATTCTGCTCTAGATTTCAGTGGGTATAAGCCCAAAAGAAGATGGACTCAGCACACAGAAGGATCAGGCATACAAAGACTTCTGTTCAGTGAACCTCAGAGGATGTATAACAACATTTGGGGTTAACTGTATTTGGATAACCCAAGTCCTAAATGAAAGCCTCAAGTTCTCTTTGCTTAACTACTACTCACAGCAATTTCTCCCCAGAACAAGCAGGACTCAGCTGTTTTTCTGACTCTAGTCGTTATAATACTTTTTCCCATGACAAATGAGACCATGACAGTGGAGCGTGAGCTATTAGGGTACGGTACCACTATTTTGTCAGCTTACGACCCTAATGGCAAGGTTTGCGTGAAAATCTACCTGTAGCTTCAGGGTCAGGATTGTAATTGTAGCTGAAGGATAGGGCACAGCCCCGCTCGGTCACTTGGTAGGGGAAAAAGCTCTCAAAAATGTCCACTCCTCTTTCGATGCACTCCAGTACTTCGTCTGGCTTACCGATACCATGGATGAGTCTAAGAGAGAGATACAACAATATACTGGATCATTGCAGTCAACAGGGAGAGAAAACAGGTATGTAGAAACTGCCTTAATGGATCGGGCCTTAAAGTCACACATTCCAGCATCCTGCCCCTCACAGTAACAAGTATACAATAGTTCAGAAAAGGGTATGCCTGGGGGAATTCTACACCACTGTGTGCATACATAATTAATAAGCTACACATATTTTTAACTTTTGGCATATAAAAAAGCTTCTGCTGAAAGTTTTGCCTCTTGTCCTTCAGAGGGCTCGGTGGTGATAGAACACAACAGGCAGCTGAGAAAGAGAAAGAACTATCAGTGAATGGGCGACTGGTAGCCTAGGCAGGGGAGGGCTTTGCTTTCCCAAATCTCCAGGCATGGCCCCACCCACACACAGCCCCCAGGGTGAAGAGGGTGAATGGTTGCTGCCCCTGAACGCTTGCCATCTCTGTGCTCTGGGCCAGGGAGGCTGGAGCCATGCGCCCTCCTCTCTTCCCGGTGCTCTGGGACAGGGAGGATGGGGTGTGTGCCCCTCCTCCCTTCCCCTCCCCATGGTGGGGAGGCAGGGCTTCAGCAGAAGGGGCGGGGCTGTAGGTGGGGCTGGGGCCTGCCTCTCCCAGCCCTACATTCACTGACCACCCATGCTTCAGTGTCTTCTTCAAAACACCTGTGGGGCCAAGTCAGGAGACAGGGGGTATGGTGGGACACAACATAGAATGCCTGGTCATGGGTCAGTCAGGAGCTCATAACTACTAGTGGGAAAGGACAGACTGAGGCAGGGGCTGAATGGAACTGGAATCACAGGGGAGTGGCTAAGTGGGGGAACAGGGACACCTGGTGATGGGGGAGTTCAGGGTCACAAAGACAAAGGCATTAAGGGGGGGCACAGAGACTCATGGGAAGGGAGGAGGGTGGCGGGCCGGATGGGGGGAGTGAGTGTCTGATTGGAGATAGAAGGACACATGGGCCTGACTGAATGGGAGAAGCTAGCGAGTTCAGCCAGAGTCTACTTAGGGGAAGATCTCTAAGTCCCTCCTTGCTCCTCCAAAACACCTGGTTCCATATTTTTCACATCCACACCCATCAACCCTCCAAATTCACCTCTAGGCTTCTTCCCAACAATTGTCTCCCTCTCCCTCAGCACGCTTGAATCACATTAGCCTTTGCATTGCTTCTGGGGGATGCAGAAAATATATTTTTGTATTGCAGTTTAAATGAATTTTTACTCAGAGTTCTGTATTAATATGCCTAATAAGGAATCAATTTGTCAAAAAACATTTTCTGAATTTTGTGTGTGTCTGTACTGTTACAGACATGCTTGCTGACAAGTATTTTGAAATAAATGACCCCAAATAATTGAAACCAGTGTGATTATATTGTATTATTTTGGCAAATAAAATATAGTGAAACCCTTGTAATCCATCATTCCAGAAACCTTTGTTAACCGGCATTACCCCCAGCCACAATACTGTTACATCTTCAGGTGCACAGGCCTGGCGTGGTTTACCATGATTGGCTTAACAATTTTTTAAGAAGTACTAATCATCTTTAACTCAAAATAGAAATGTGAGACCAACTGCCTCACACTACAGAACTACCAGTATTAAAAAATTGAGTTTTACTATTATTGTCCATTGGTTTTTCCTAGGTTGATGGGACCCTCAGATAACCAGAATTTTTAGATAACCGGAACACCCTAATCCCCGAGCATGCCAGATAACACAGGTTTTACTGTATACAGAATTTTGCAGAATTTGAAAATACGGTGCATAAAATTTTTAATTCTGGGGCAGAATTCCTCAACAGTAAAAGACATAAAAAAACCTCAAGAGTGGACAATTGTGGAATACAATGGAATGTGTTTAAGCCAGTAAAAACAGCAACCTGTGAGCCAGGCAGTTGCTTAACAGGCTGAAATCTGATGCATGGGCTATCACCAATCATGAGGCCATGCCTCTCCCACATCCCATCTGTCTGGTACACCACAGCACAGTTGAATTCCCATTACCTCCTAGTGCCCACTCTTCTGTCTTTGTTTGAAAGGCTACAATAGCTACACATTAACCCCAGGATAATGTTAAAACCTTATCAGTTGTGTTCAATGTGATCTAGATCCCTACACATCCATGTACATCGATTCTATGTTGTGATCCATCTCATACCTTATGTTCTGCCACAGAATACTTTGTTGCATATTCTGTGCCCTGCGTAGCAAATGGTTACCAGGTATGGGGATTATTTACTACACCTGGCTCCAAACTAGTAACGCACCATTTCATGCCAGAGGGTCCTTTTGAGTTCCACAACAAAGTCACAAAATCCACCCAAAAGACAGTGGGTGGAGGCAGAGTCCCAAAGCCAGAAATTGTAAACACACAGTTAATGTGAGTGACTTTACTTGTATGTGGTCCTCCTTAAGGCAATGGGAATACTCATGTTTACAAAACTGGGTCCTCTGAGCAAAGAAAGGAATTTATCCACATTTCACTGTACTGTTTCATCACAGTGCATGGGAAATAATCTACAGATGACCCTCAAGTAGAAGGTATTTGGAAGGCTCTGGGAGTAACTTCCAACAGGTGCAAAGGATGTTAGGGGATGATACAACTCAGCGATGGAGAATCATTCTTCTTTTGGGAAGCACACATTTACTTTATAATGAGTTTTGGGATCTATCTACATAAAGAAGCACTAATGAGAAATACCATTCTGGGAGGGCTCAGTTTTCCTCCCCTTCCTATGCCCAGTTTACACAAGGGATTTCTTTCAGCTGATTTTCCTCAAGAGGCAATTCCCAACAACAGCCAGCACTATCAACTCCCCTTGGGACTTGGCAATCCAGCTGGGCTCTTCCTGCCTCTTACATCACCAATGGTAAAACAGATATTGCTCCAACCAAATTCAGCTGGCAGCTTTGCTAAGAATGGATGAGGCAGAAGAGAATACAATAGACATGCATTCTCGCAGGTGCACTGGCTGTGCTGACAACAGTAAGAGCTAATCGAAAGCAATGAACTGAACAGAACACAAGGCAAAAAGAGACTAAAATGTGCAGAAATCAGGCGCCATTTTTATGACCATAATTACACTAAGACCCTGCATGAGCAGCAAACTTGGACGGGAGAAGCTTACATGATGATTTTGTTACATTCCATGTTCTTGCAATAGGAAGAAAATACTGTTTAATAATCAAATCAGCATTTATTGTTTATGTGATTAACTCGCTTTATAGCAATGTTTCTTATAGAGAGTAAGCAATAGGTTTAGGTAGCATCTTTCATTCTAAGAGACCAGAAAGGGCTTTAGAGGCTAAGCACATAGACTATACTTCTTCACCACAGTCACCTTTGGAATGGAACACAGCAGCTGTTCTTCACCAAATATACAACACATTTTTAATAGTGTGCATCTGTGTAAAATAGCTTTTAGAAGTAAATGTAGAGAAATAGGATGTAAGTACCAAGTGAAATTCAAACAGAACCCTAACGGTTAACACCTTTACTCTTAAAAAGAGCGGTCATGATCACTTGTCTGAAACAGAGAAGTAAAATGTTTGATAGATAAGGTGGATGTACTTGTACAGTCACTCAGGTCAGCTGGGTTGATAAGACCCAAAGGTTCATTTAAGATAGCTTGGATGGCAGCAACACTAGTCATGAAGCGCTCCAAACTCCAGGTATCTCTGAGCAAGAGAGTACTGCAAAGCTAGAATCATGCTCTTGCATTTTCCTTTCTTTGGCTCAAGTCTCAGAAGGTGGCCAGGACAAGGGCCCACTGAAAGGGCAACTCAGCTACAGGAGGTAGTAGTGCCTGAATCATTCTCTTCATGAGACACTGGAAGGCATGTTTCAACTCAATGAATTATGAGCTCTGGAAGAGCCACACAGGGATATAAATGAAGGGTCTGTTTGTTACCCTTCCCCTCAAAAAACTCCAACTACACCATCTTGGCACTCTTAGCTTGCACTGGTTTGTAGTTTTTGGAGCCTCTGGAATGTTTATAAACGTTTCAGGGAATCATGAATGAGTGTCTATCATTTATAAGATTCAGGAAATTATTAGTAATGGTTGGAGCCAGGCATAATTCATGCAGAACATCCCCTACCATCTTCTGCCAATGCCCATCACTCCTGAATTGCTATTCCAGTCCTCTTACAGGAGACAGAGAAAAATAGGCAGGAGTTTCTGATAGGTGGATATACATTCACTTCAAACTGCAACAACTGAAAATTGTTTTTAGCTGTGTTTCAAGTCAGTCATGATCCTTGGAGGGTAAAGGTGAAGGGATCATGCCAATCCCACACACGATTCTGTCTAGAAATAGGTTTAAACCCAAATCCTAAATCCTCCTGAAAGAAAGATATCACATACATATTGTAGGCAGTTCCCCATTTCGCACCTTGTGCCAACTGTGGCTTAAAAGTAAAATTGGGGCCTTTTAAGTCAGCATTTGGCTCATATAAAAATCTTCAGGATAATATATGGATTTCCTGGACACTGTCATCCTGTGGTAATTACACTAGAACAAGTGTGTTTTGATGTCTCTCCCCTTAAATCTGACCTCGGTTTATCCTCCGGCAGCTCTGCTGTGACAGAGTCCATCAGTTTCAGCTTGGTCTCCTTGGCCATGGCAAGTCCTTGAAAACCATCCAGCAGGAAACCACCCACGGGTCGCTTGGCAGTCTCTCTAGCTGACCTGAGCCTCTCCTCCAACACATCTCCGCCTTCAATTACTCCAATCATCACACTGCTCTGCAGCTCCTGGATCAGGCAAAAGTTACAAACTTAAGTGAAATTCACTAAACAAATATGTTCCATGAAAGCCCATCACCACCCAGGAACTGGTGCATTGGCACAGAGTCTGGACACTTGGCACTGTACCTTTGCTTCCTGGGCACCTTTGAATGCAATGGTAGTTTATCCTCCTCAAGCTGTACCAATTAAGACAAATGAGGACCTCCCTCAACTAAGGATGTAAAACCCCATTTAATTAGTTAACCAGTTAAATGTTAAGTTTAACTGATTAACTGATGAAATGGGAGTGGCAAGACCATTCTCCGGGAGGAGCTGCCATAGCCCAGCCTGCGCAAGACTGGTAATAAGGATGTTAAGAAATGGGTAAGTGATTAATCATGAATTCAATACAAATTGTATTGAGTACACGATTAGTCGATAAGCTGCAGCTCTGCAGTTTAAATGTAGTAGGAGCTGGGTGCACAGGCATTTCGCCTCTTATCAGCTAATCATGTATTCAATACAAATTGTATTGAGTACACGTTTAGTCGACAAACTGCAGCACCACAGCAGGGTTAGGTCTGGGATAGGTCCCCACTGATGGCTGCTGCAGCTTTGCTATTAGTGTAGTAAGAGCTGCCTGGCTCTTACTACATTTAAAAGGCAGAGCCGCAGCAGGGGATGCGGCGTGAGCCAGGACTCAACAGTCCCAGCTTGCACCAGCTCCAGGACCGCTGTGGCTTTGCATTTTAAACATAGTAAGAGCTGCCAGGCTCTTGCTACATTTAAAATGCGGAGCCACAGTGCGGGTGGCTCCCAGAGCCGGCGCAAGGAGGGACTGAGTAGACCCAGCTCGCCCTGGCTCCAAGACCACTGTGGCTCTGCCTTTCCTTCCCCCCCGTCCCGCTGAGACGGTGCTGGGGGGAACCAGCTTTTTAAGCCAGCTTCCTCCAGCACTGGTTCCTGCTTCCCCCACCCTTGCTGCCTCTGACAGAGTACTACTACTCAAGTAGTTGCTTACATCCCTAGCTGGTAGTGGCAGCCCCATGTGGGGCCAGCAACCCCCAGAAGTGGCAGCCCCACACTGTTTCTGAGAGCTGCTGCTACTGGCCTCACATAGGACTGCCGGCTCCTAACCTGCCTGGGCTGGGAGCTGGCAGTCCTGCACAGAGACCCAGCAGGGCTGTTCCCCAGATACTGGTTAACTGTTACCCGGTGAGCAACACTTGTTAAGGGTGATGCTTACTGGGTAACCAGTTACCCATTAACATCCCTAATTGTACCAATTAGGACTATTTAGGACATGGTGTAGTCTAGTATTTAGAACAGATGAATATGACAGGTCTTCTGCCTGCCACTCATTTCACCTCTGGCTCTCATTATCCTCATCTCCCATAAAGAGGTAATAAGACTTACCCACCTTTGCCACCTGTTGTGTATTTCTTAGGCAAATGCTCTACAGAAATGTGAAGTATCAATAGAGAACACAATAGAAGATCCTGCCCCACTTAGGGATGTAAGAGTTTAACCTGTTAACCGATAACCTGATGCTTATTTATTATCGTTACTAGTTAAACTCTGCACAGGGCTGCCAGCAGCCCTGCGGGGCTGGAAGCCTTGCCAGCTCCACAAGGCCAGGAGCCCTGAGAGCACTAGTACGCCGTAGGACTGGGAGCCAGGAGCGCCAGCAGTCCCCAGAGCCTCATGAGGCTGGGAGCCAGGAGCAGTTAACCGTGTAACTGATACAATATTTCTTGGTTACACAGTTCATACTTTTATTCACTAGCCCCAATGCCTTGCAACTACTATGCCTGTCACCTACCACTACTGATGTCCCATAGCCTTTCAAGGGATTTCCAGCCTCAGATACTGGCAGCCTCCAGCTGAGCTCTTGGTCTCCTCATCAGGCTAGGCATGTCCCCCACCACTAGGGGCGATACGTCTCTCAAACCCACTGAAAGGACTAAGAAATAGCACTGACAAGTCCTGTTTAGTCCCCCTCAGCTAGGAAGACTATGGTTAGAAAACAGGGCTTGACAGGGTTAAAGGTGGAAAAAATAAAATGGAAAGACAGGGTGGGTGAGTTCTTGGATTTCTGAACAAGGAGAAAATCTATTCCCTGCTCTTCCCAGGAATATAAAGTGACTCTAAAGCAAGGGTGATCAAAATACGGCCTGCCATGCTGCTTGATCTGGTCCACGGCCCACCCTCCCGAGACCCCGAAGCTGTTCAAAGTGGCTGGCGGTTCCCCTGCAAGCTCCCTTCTGCGCCCACACTCCATCCCAAACCCCACACCCCCTCCACACTGAAGTGTGGCCCTTGACCACTTTCCAAAACCTTGGAATGGCCCCTCATCAAAAATTATTGCCCATCTCTGCTCTAAAGGACAGAAGACAATTGTCTTGTGAAAACAGAATGAGTTACAAGTCATGGAGGCTGAATTCTTCCTCACCTATAGGTTAGTCCCTCTGGGTCAAGAGTGAGGACCAAGGACAGGGGCAGCACGAGGGAAATTTTCTGGGCTGCTGCCTATGTTATATCTGATCTATGGACAGACTAAAGACATCCGTCTCCACTCCAGACAAAGTCACCCAGGTCAAACCCACTGTGTGCCTCAGTTCTCCTTTTGCTAACATTCTGGGATCTTCACAAGGCACAGCACACACAGAAAAGCAGCTACAGTGCTGCTGTCCATGACACATTTGGATCTTACTGGTGATTTCTCCTGCAGCTGAATGCACTCATCCAGGAAAGAAAGAGATCTGTCCACAGATTTCTTGGCCCGCTTTCTGGAGGTTTCACCAGAAATAGTGTCTCCATCTGAGAGACACTGAATCCAGTCTGGCTTGAAAGCACGTTGCATGTTCATAAACTTGGAAGTTGTCATTTCCACGCGTCCTCCGTATCCCCATATAGATACTGACTGTCAGAGGCAATCAAAGGGAACAAAGGGATGGATGTTAATTGGGGAAGTTAAGAGACCTTTCAAGGGAACAGAGAGGTCCTGGTAAAAAGTGTACTACTGCAAAAATATTCCCTCGGCAAGCTCTCAAAGATAATAAATCAGGAAAGCAACTGCCTGTAGCATACAGCATGAAGGTCTGGTGGTTAGAGCAGGAGACTGGTAATTAGGAGCGCTGGGTTCTGTTGCTTGTGACACCAACTCTCTGTGTGACCTTTAGCAAGTCAAGTCATCTCAGAGTTTCGGTTTCCCCATCTTTACAATGGAGATGGCAACACTAAACTACCTACCAGGGATGTTGGAAACCAGGCTTAAGAGCTGAAGTGACTTTCTCAGGGACAGCCAACAAATCTGTAGCAGTGTGAGAAATCACCAAGATCTCCTGACTCCCAGCACTTGCTCTACCCCATGAATAGCCACCAACTGTAGCAAAAGGAATGGCAGGTAATTCTGCAGTGCCTACTAGGGATGTTAAAATACATTTATTTGTGTAAACATGTAATCGCTGAATATTTTAGCAGTTACATGTTTACATGCAGGGGGCAGGTGGCAGCTGGAACCGGCTTTTAAGCTGGATCCCCAAAAGCACCAGTTTCCACCTACCACCCGGCACCCCCTGCTGCTGTTTCTGATACAGACGCTGCAGTTTGGGGGGCAGGTGGTTCCATGGGAGCCAGTATGTGCAGGGAGCCGGCTTGAAAGATGGCTTCCTGTGTTTACCAGCTCCTGCCTACCCCCCCTCCCACTGCTGCCTCTGATATAGAGGCAGCACATGGGAGGGATGCGGGGGGTAGCTCCATGGGAGCCAGTACGTGTGGAGAGCTGGCCTTTAAGCATTGGCTTCAGCCTGCTCCCCCTGCTGCCACTGTGGGAGGCAGCAGTGCAGAGGGTGAGGGGGGAAGGAAGTTCCACAGGAGCCAGCACATGCGGGGAGCCAGCTTAAAAGCTGAGGCAGTGGGGGGCATGGGGTGCGTGTAACCGTGAGGATTAACCATGAGGGTTTAGCCCCAGGCTTATCAGTTAACCGTGTTCACAGATACACATTAACATCCCTAGTGCCTTCCACACATACACAGTCTTTGAACAATGAATGTATACATACACACATTCCTGAGGGCAATTCCACCATTTCCTAAGAGCAGATGTGAGGCCTGAAATTAAGTTCTTATATGTTTTCCCATTCTCTCTAGCATGTCTGTGAGCATGAACCTTCATCTTCCATTTTCGTTATTCTCATATTATGCCATGCACGCTTTTTATATTAGGAAGACAAAGCATTGGCCCAACATTGTAATCCTTGCATACAAGCTTCTGAACAAATGAAAGGGTTGCTCTAAGTGTCAGCCCTCTATGGTGTCATGCATAAGCCTGAACATGAGAGTTCAGGAAGGGTTACAACGTGTAGGCTGTCTGGCAATTGCTCCGGCTGCGTTGTTATTGGTCTGGTAATGCTTGGGATGTTAGCTTTTTCATGGGCACCCAAGTATTTTAGGCCTCTACATTAGATAGTGAGACAGAGATATATATCACACTCAAAAACTAATATGAATACATGTGTTTTCATAATTTTTTTGGTTCACTGAACAGCTTTTCTATATTTAAATATAAAATTCACTTTACTGCTGCAATGGGAACCCATAATAATAAGCACTGAGTCAGTGCACAAGACCCACAAAATGAAACTAATCTGATTTGTTTCACTTCTCAAGTTGATGTAGAACATGTAAACACTGTTTTGGGTCTGTTTGTTTTTTAACCAGAATGGCAATTCTTTTACTTAATAAAACTAAATCATGGGGAACAACATGGCCCACAGAATCTCACACCCGAGGTTCAAATCCAACCTGGGTCACTGATTCTGAAAAGCAATTCTTTATGATCCAATTCCTAGTAACTTTAATGAGACTTCATACCAAGGTAAGCATCTGCCAGTGCAATTCCAGTTACAGTATCAGGTCCAACTGGCCTGATTTTATTCCTTTTTAAGTTAAAATTGCTACTGACTTCAATGACAGCAGGATCAAGCCTTAAGCAAATAGTAACAGAAAGTTGCTGCCAACTGACAGCATTGTAGCCTGTATGACATGAGTTGGGTGGGACTCAGCCCAGTTGTGGCATCCTCTTCCCAAATATCGCCACCACAAAATAAGAAAATAATCACCCCCTTTTGCTGACACCTTCATCAGGTACTTCCAAGAATGAATGGTCCATGAAGACTAAACTTGGTCTCCCAGCCCTCACAGGCTGAGGCAGCACGGTAAGCAGTAAGGGCAGAGCAAAATGTGTGTGAGGAACATGAATTGCTCCTGTACATAATCTGTGAATACACACAAGGCTTCCTCTCTCTTGGGCACTCATGTCAGCACCTTCCACCAGCATTAAGTTTCCTTTCATGTGGTCCTCTTGAATGTATGGGTCCATAGAGAGAATCCAAATATTACGTGGTCTCATGGGATCCCATGTTTATTGTCAATGGCTCCAGAGAAAATATGCTCAAATTACAAGCCACAACTTTTTTAACTGACAAATTATCAACTGCACACGAATCCAGTCTGCTCATCCATATTTGTGTAGCCCTACAAAGTCAGCAGATAGACCATGGGCACTCGGGAACAAGTCTGATGCTTAACTAAATGCATCTATCTGATCATACCTCTACTTTAAACCCCATCAAAAGCTGTGGGGAAAATGTGGACACTATATCCTAGAATTCACTGGTTCACTTTCCTATAACCCCAAAGAGGGCAGTCTGTAGCTGCTAAGCAGGGCACATACAGTGGTAGATGTGGACACTGACTCTTTGGCGTTTGGGAGACATAAGTTTTGTTGGACTCTCTTAAGTTTTTACACTTACAATACCTTGTTGTTATTGTAGCCAAATGGGCAGGGAGTACCAGGGTCATGGAGAGAGCAGTACAGCACTGAATCTGGCATACCTGCAGGCACACACACCAGAAAAAAAATTTAAAAATAGTCAAATATAATCTTGTAGACCACTATAGGTACATTAGCTACTTGCTAAGAGATGGCTATGAATTCACAAAAGGATAATCTGGAAATAAATGCACAGACCTGACATCTTTGTCAGAGACAGACATGGCTTGTTTGACCTCCATAGCTACAAAACATTCAGTTGGACAGCTCTGTCTGCACTCTATCGGTTGTACAGAGGGGAGAATAAAACCAAAGGAGTAGCATTATATAATGCCACAAACTACAAGTAGCCTTTGGACCGTTTACTTGAGTAATGCTATTGCTGCCAAAAGTAAACCAGAAGCAATGACAGCTGACTCACTTGTCCGCTGAATGAAAGCTCTGGGGACATCTGACACTTGACATCATCCAGGCTGGGTGACCTAACCAGTCTCAGACCTGGAGTTTACACCAAGATAGTAGAATGAGCTGCAGCAATAAGAGATGTATGATCATTTCACATGTAATTGAACAAGCTTGATGCAATTAATGCAATAAAGGTCTCTGTTTTAGAGATATAGGTAGAGGTTTTTCAACACCATGTAGTAGATTTGATGCATAGGCTGGGACTTTCAAAGAAGTCCAATGAGTTAGTTACCTAAATGACACAAAAATGTATGGGGACATGAATTTCACCTAAAATCCTTAGACTCCTTTGAAAATTCCAGCTATAACTTCCATGACAATTAATGAAAGGTGTCTCTAAATCCTTTCGGTGGTTTTAAAAGTCTGTCATATTGTATTGAGCTGAACAGCCCCAACACCTACCGTATATTCCGGCGTACAAGACGACCCCCGATTTTGGGGGGATGTTTTTTAACATCAGAGGTCGTCTTGTACGCCGGATGCACCGCCGCCGGAGCCCCTCCGCGCCGCCGCAGAGGGGCTCCGGCGGCGGTGCATCCGGCGTACAAGACGACCCCCGATTTTGGGGGGATGTTTTTTAACATCAGAGGTCGTCTTGTACGCCGGATGCACCGCCGCCGGAGCCCCTCCGCGCCGCCGCAGAGGGGCTCCGGCGGCGGTGCATCCGGCGTACAAGACGACCCCCGATTTTGGGGGGATGTTTTTTAACATCAGAGGTCGTCTTGTACGCCGGATGCACCGCCGCCGGAGCCCCTCCGCGCCGCCGCAGAGGGGCTCCGGCGGCGGTGCATCCGGCGTACAAGACGACCCCCGATTTTGGGGGGATGTTTTTTAACATCAGAGGTCGTCTTGTACGCCGGATGCACCGCCGCCGGAGCCCCTCCGCGCCGCCGCAGAGGGGCTCCGGCGGCGGTGCATCCGGCGTACAAGACGACCCCCGATTTTGGGGGGATGTTTTTTAACATCAGAGGTCGTCTTGTACGCCGGATGCACCGCCGCCGGAGCCCCTCCGCGCCGCCGCAGAGGGGCTCCGGCGGCGGTGCATCCGGCGTACAAGACGACCCCCGATTTTGGGGGGATGTTTTTTAACATCAGAGGTCGTCTTGTACGCCGGATGCACCGCCGCCGGAGCCCCTCCGCGCCGCCGCAGAGGGGCTCCGGCGGCGGTGCATCCGGCGTACAAGACGACCCCCGATTTTGGGGGGATGTTTTTTAACATCAGAGGTCGTCTTGTACGCCGGATGCACCGCCGCCGGAGCCCCTCCGCGCCGCCGCAGAGGGGCTCCGGCGGCGGTGCATCCGGCGTACAAGACGACCCCCGATTTTGGGGGGATGTTTTTTAACATCAGAGGTCGTCTTGTACGCCGGATGCACCGCCGCCGGAGCCCCTCCGCGCCGCCGCAGAGGGGCTCCGGCGGCGGTGCATCCGGCGTACAAGACGACCCCCGATTTTGGGGGGATGTTTTTTAACATCAGAGGTCGTCTTGTACGCCGGATGCACCGCCGCCGGAGCCCCTCCGCGCCGCCGCAGAGGGGCTCCGGCGGCGGTGCATCCGGCGTACAAGACGACCCCCGATTTTGGGGGGATGTTTTTTAACATCAGAGGTCGTCTTGTACGCCGGATGCACCGCCGCCGGAGCCCCTCCGCGCCGCCGCAGAGGGGCTCCGGCGGCGGTGCATCCGGCGTACAAGACGACCCCCGATTTTGGGGGGATGTTTTTTAACATCAGAGGTCGTCTTGTACGCCGGATGCACCGCCGCCGGAGCCCCTCCGCGGCTTTGAAAGCCTCGGGGGAAGCCGGCGGGGGGGGGGCAGCCCAGGCGCTCCTGGCGGCTTTGCTCCCGGTGCCTCTGGTCTGCTGGGGACCATCTCCAGCAGACCAGGGACACCGGGAGCAAAGGAGGCGGAGGGGCGCTGGGGGATAAGATGAAACCCTATCTTTTAATTAAAAAGATAGGGGGTCGTCTTATACACCCAGTCGCCCTATACGCCGGAAAATACGGTAATACAATCACACAAAGGCCTGACTGGGCATTCTCTGCACTCAGAACTCCCCCTTGTAGGAGCTTTCAGTGCATAAGGAATGCAGAGTCAGGCCTTTACTCACATAAATTTTTGGTTGGGGCAGTTGTCTCCCCAAGAGCCAGTGCATATGAAGAACCAGATTTTAAGTCAGCTCCCCGTGCATACAACTGTGAATGTTAGGATAAGTCTAGACTACATTCCTCTGCCGACAGAGGCATGTAGATTAAGCTACCCGACATAGTCAATGAAGTGGGGATTTAAATAATCCCCGCTTCATTAAAATAAACATGGCTGCCGTGCTGTGCCGACGATCAGCTGATCCGGTAGAGTGCAGCAGTCTAGACTCGGATCTGTTAGCTGGGGAAGCCTTTGCCGAATGATCCCTTATGCCACCCTGTTTAGAAAATGCTTTAGATAGGATCAGACTACAACTAAATACACACACAGAACTTTACCTATAAATTTCCCAACTCCTTCTTTAAATTCCTCCAAGACATCATGAAGTTCTACCCTGTGTCCAAACATAAAAAAAATACACATTAAAAAAAAACCAATGAGAATGAGTTAATTGTTCAGTATATCAGAAGACACAATTGGAGTGACATTGGAGGAATGGCAAAGTCAATACACCAAATTTTACAAGATCTTGCCCCTATCCCTGCAAGACGGAACTGTCATGCAGACAAGACTCAGGCATCTTTATCAAAGGGTTGTCCAAACTTGGATTAGACTACTAGACAATGGAAAAGAAGCCTAAACCCTGTCTATACTACAACTTCCACCATTGGTACCACAGTGGAGCTGCACAAGTGGAGAGTTACAGGTCCCATTTTTATCAATGTATGTGCAGCCTAAAAATGCAGCTCTTAGAATTATATTAGGGTGATAAAAGGTTGCTCATTACAGAATTTTGCAAAAAGTTATAAAGAAATAGGGAAAGGCCAGTTATACCATCCTGTTGCCTTTTGAAAAGAAGGCTTCCCCTTGAATATTTGCTTGTAGGTCCCACCTACAATAAATGCACAGCAACCCATCCGTCCCCAAGAAATCCAATCATAAAGTAGAGAGCATGATGGCCAACATTTCAGCCAACACACCAGGGATTGAATCAGGGACTTCCTTTGCTAAAAATCACGAGCAGCTACATCTTGAGCTAAAATGTCAGTATTTTCTAGTTGGGGCTATAACAGTCTCTCATTTCATGGTCTCACTTTGAGAAGTCTCAACCCTTTCTGGTGAAGCAAGGAAGTATTGTTTCTTGTTTCCAGTGAGAAAACCGAGTACACAAAAGCAATGTCTCAGTTGTTCTTGATACTTACAGAGTTGAAAGCGTGAGCTGCACAATGTCAGGAACCCCTTTAATTGTCTGCAATGTGTCATGGGTGAGGTGTGGTGGGGATCCTGTTTTGGTATACAGTAGGCAGCCTGGAAGCTCCACAGTTTGAACCCCATTCTTGCCAAGATTTGTCAGTGTCCCAAGACGACACCCACTGACCACTTTGGAGAGACTCAGCTTCATTCTGGTTAACTGGCAGACAGTGTCCAAATCCTTTAAAGAAAGACATTATTTAAGCAGGTCTTTCTCCTTTAAAATTTTGGGTTAATATTAGTATCTGTAAAAGCTTAGAAACTCAAGGAAATGGAAAAGTAAATTGTTTGTTTCTAAAGCTACTGGGGATTCCCCCCATTGCAATAAGCATGCAGTGGATCTATTGGTAGCCATGGGGGAAAAGGTAGCTAACAAGATAGGTATTATGGTGTGGACTTTCACTCAGAAGACCTTGATCTATTACTAGTTCAGCTGCTGTGTGACCTTGGATAAGTCACTTCATTTCCCCATGCTTCTGTTTCCACTCCCACCCTTTGCCTGTCTTGTCTATATAGATTGCAAACTTTTCTGGGCAAGAATTGTCCCTCACTATATTTTATAGCACTAAGTACAACAAGGCTCACATGCATTACTAGGACCTCTGGGTGTCAATACAAATTACTAGATTATTATTAGTTTCAGAGGAATAGCCATTTTAGTCTGTATCTGGAAAAAAACATTAAAAAAACTGAATAGTCTTGCAGCACCTTAAAGACTAACAAAAATGTAGACGGTAAAAAAAAAAAATCTCATGATACCATCTGTTATTTTTTAGTTTCTAAGGTGCTGCAAGACTAATAGCTTTTTTTTTTTTAAAGTTTTACTTAGATTAGTCAAGACAAAGACAACTGTGAGGAATTCCAGAGAGATTTAATTAAGATAGTACAAAGGCAGATAAAATTCAGTGTCCACAAATGCCAGGTAACGCACATTGCAATGAATAATCGGAACTATTCACCAACACTGGGGAGGAGGAGAGAAACTAAGTGACCGGTAAAAACGTTAAAAAATTTTAAAAAACCATAAAAAATTTTAAAAAAACCAACAACATGGGGCAGATCAAGGAAAACCTCTGCACAACAGCTGTGGTTTAAAAACGACTGGCTGATAAAGGACGAGAACAACCAGGTGCAGAGTTGCGGACTCCTGTGATTTTTAAGTATCACAGTTTGACGGGCAGCCCCATATTCAATGTTGATCATAAACCCCTGAACGCTGGAGTCTTGCAAAACAAACAAAACCCCCTAGAGCCCCAGCTCGCATTTTAAGAAGTCAGATTTTAGTGCTCCGGGCGGGGGGG